AGCGGCTAGCGAAGGAGCAAAAGGGAACCATGGCGGTGGCCACGGCAGCTGCCGCCGCCTACGAAGAGCTGAAGCTGTAAGTGAGCGGCTAATGGCCGGGGGGAACTACCACTTCCTAAGCCCGTGGGGGTGAACAAGCCCTCGCATGGCGGTGCCCCTGACGCCCCCTCCCCTCCCCTCCCCGCAACAGACTGATTTTTCCTCCAACAACGTCCCGGTCGAACCTCCCCCAGCCTGGGGTCTCTGCATCTGCGAAACGACGAGCCCCGTTGTAATTAGCGATTGTCGTGGGAATTGTCGTTCAACGCATCTGTCGAGCGCCAGCTTGGGAAAGGCTACCCCGGACACGCTTGGCCCCTCTGGCTTTCCTCGCCCCCAAGAAACCCTTCTCTTTCCGACTCCCTTTTTCTCAGCTGCTACTGGCAGGTAATCCCAGCCACCAAGCTTTCTGGGTCGCTTACTGCGCCCCGGTTTCTGCTTTTTCCGTGGCTTTTCTTCTCTAACATATTGGTCTCAATGGAAGGGCATGTACGTGGCCAAGTCGCATCCAGCGTAGCTGGCTCTCCTGTAGAGTCTTTGGCAACATTTCTTTTTGCAGTTGACTCTTCGCTACCACTGAAGGCTCCCTTTCCTTGCTAAAATCATCTTTGATTTCATTCATTGCTTCTTCCTGGTAAAAAGTCCCCCCTCCCCAACCTGAAGAACTATTTTCTCTCATTGGCCCTGCCACGAATCATTTGGGTGACCTAACCGGCAAAAAGTTTTGCAACATGGACCGCTTTGGCTGCATATGATGAAAGTTATAGTTCAGTATATATGAAGGTCACCAGGAGTGAAGTCCTCTATTTTGCAATGAGTTGCTGTAGGTGAAGGCTTATGTTATTAGAAAAAGCTCCTTGTATATAGTTACTTAGAGAGAGAAGTTGCATTGTGAGATCATGATAAATCCAGGGCTTTATTTGATGTGAATTTATTTTTACCTTTACATAACTGCTGCAGTAGTCTGCTTGATCCTAAATTTAGTGATGAATAGTCTTTTGCCAGCCAGGCCCTCTCACCAACCTGCAAAGCCCTCCCTGAAGCCCCCACCCCAGAGACTGTTTCAAGAGTATATATATTGAAGTGCTGTTTTTTTCAGGGCTTTGGTATGTGTAGTGCTGGCACTTTAAGGGTATAGAGTATGTATCCTTCACTTACTGTATAAGGTTCTCCCTTCACTGTTGCTCCTTGAAAAGTAGAAACCTGAGCCAACCTCTTCTTAGTGCTTACATTATGGAATTATGGGGTTACAGCGCTTGCATAATAGAGTTATGGGAGGGAGAAAGGGAGGCGGTTGAGTTGCATTCTGTGCAATACAGTACTGTAGTCTCCGGAAACAACCTATCTCCATAGTGAAAGTTAGCTCAGTGATAAAATTAAAATTTGACAACTACCTGGACAAGTCCCTGAGTTTTCTTGGCAAGGATTTTCAGAAGCGATTTGCCGTTGCTGCCTCCTAGGGTTGAAAGAGAGTGACTGGCCCAAGGTCACCCAGCTGGCTTCGTGCCTAAGGCGGAACTAGAACTAATAGTCTCCCAGTTTCTGTCCTGGTGCCGTAATCACTACACCAAATAGCTCTCTTATGGAGTATACAATTCTGAGAAGAAAATTTTTGTATGCATGTGAGTTTTTCTTTTATAATCATCCATGTACTGTTGCTTAGAAGGTCACTTATCTTACTGATCTTTAGCATATTTACATGGTAACACAGCTTAGAGAATGGATGAGATGAACTTCCAAATAAGTGCACGAAGAAGTGTAGAATTAGTATTTAAAAGACGATTGCTTTTGTTTATATATTCATTTATTTATTGATAACAAGTGATTTAATAAAATTGGCAATCAGTCAAAATGTATCTTGGTTTCTCAACCCTTACTTTGTGTTATGATACAATAATAGGAATCACATTTATGAGTTGTCCTTGCAGAAGTGTGATTTCTATGATGTTAGATTAAATTCTTAACATTATTTTTTGATGCAGTTTAATTCTTGATACATATATTCCAATGTTCTGATCAAATGGAAAGAATATGCAGGAATATTTTTTTAGGCTTATTCAATTGTTTAATGCATATTGTTCTTTTCCTCTTTGATAAAACTAAAATCAAGAGAAGTTGACTACAGTGTTTCAGTGTTAAACTGCAGAAAGGTTTTGGTGTTGCAATATTGTTTACTAACTGTGTTTCTTAAGAATGAAGGCTGAACTCTAGCCTTGCTCTTCAACTACAAGCGATGCTATATGAATGCTCTGAAATAACACTGGAATGTATTGTTCTGCTTTCCAAGATAAGTTTATGAAGAATTTTTATTGTTGTAAATTGAGGAACATGTAGTAATTAATTTGGAGTAAGTAGTATGTAAATGGTTGGTCATAATGCAAAGATGTTAACGTGTGTGTATGAAGTCATGATTGAAGTTAATAAGGGTGCTATCTTCTGGATCTGTCCCCACTACTGAGTAAAGGTACTGTCCACCCATCCATGAGTCAGCACAAGATGAGTCAGGTTTATCATCATTCCAGATTTTGGCCCCTTATATCAGGGCTCCAGGTTTAATGCTGAAATCTGTGTGGCAAACTCACACATCATGTGGTCATATCAGCTGAGCCCCAACATGGGAGAGGAAATATTTAAAGGGGATGTGTGGCTAAACTCTTGTTTAAAAATTACCTGCTTAACAGCTGATGGAGTACAGGATTGTATCATGAGTGAGAATCTCCCTTCTAAGGCATTATACAACCCATCTCCGATCAGCTGTTAGGCTGATCCTTTTTTCAAAGCCAAATTGGCTCAGACTTGGCTGGTACAAAGAAAAGCCCAGTTTGAAAGAAACGGACTCTGCTGCTGCCTAAAGAAGAATGACCCTGGACCCAAGGACCAGAGTAGAAGGACATGCTGGAGTTCAGATGAAGATGATCTCATGGGGACACAGAAGAAAGAGAGTTTGTGAGCATGTTAATGCTGGGATTAGATACACATGAGAAAAGGCTTTCAAAGTAAGAAACTATGTATGTTGAGTTTTCAGAGAAAGGAAAGTAGTTTAAATGGTAATATGGAGTTTTCATGTTATGGAATAAATTGTTAAAATGTAAATATAGTTATGTGAACTGAAATTATGCTTTTTGATTTTGTCTCAGGTTGTTGGCCATACAAAAATGATGCTGATTCTTATGCTGGTAGAAAGTTTTGTTGTCCCTGTTGTCAATCCCTATCCTTTATATTTTGAATCACTGCTGAATGGTGTTATCCTGATTGGTGAATATGCTATCCATTATAGATAACAATGTTGGTTTTCTCTTCTGGCTTTGCTGCTTTCCACTTTTAGCATATCATCAGCCAGTTTGAAAACTGCCTACCAATCTGTAGCAAGAATGACATGTGTCTTAATTCAGGACTCTGCCTGTCTTTCCCAGACAAGTTTGTTTGCTCTTTCATGTCCCACTTGGGCATCTCCCAAGTTAAAAAAATAATTGGAAAAGATATTTAGATGCTATTCTGATCTATACCTACAAAGATCAGAATAGTGGAAGCAATGGTATTCCTTGTGATACTTTATGGAAGTGAAAGTTGACCTTTGAAGAAACAAAATTGAAAGAGTATTGATGCTTTTGAACTTTGGTGTTGAAGAAGACTCCTGAGAATATTGTGGACAATCAGGAAAACAAGCAAATGGATCGTCAAACAAATCAACCTGGAGTTCTCACTTGAAACACAACTGACCAGGCTCAGATTACCATACTTCAGATACATTACACAAAGTTGTAGCTCTCGAGAGAAAGGTCTAATGCTGGAAAAGGTGGAAGGAAACAGAAGAAGAGGATGACCAGCAGCAAGGTAGACAGATTCAGTTATAATAACAATGGGTGCACCATTGGAAGGCCTGAAGGACCAAGTTAAGGACAGATCATCATGGAGAAAATCCATTGAGAGTTGGCATCGATTTGAAATTTGAAAGAGACAAATACAGTTCTTCCTCTTCAATTGAAACATTAGTGGTCTGTTCTCCTCTCCATTCCTTGAGATCTGGAGAGAAGTTGATTTAAAAAATAGAGGGGAAAGGTGATTTGCATAAAAGCACTAATGGAGAGCTTAAAGGCTGGGAGAGAAATGGCTGAGCTGGATGCTAGCTAGTGACCAGAGAGGCAGAGACACAGTCCTTCCTCTCAGCACTTCCTAAAGACATCTACAGTAGGTCTGCTGATTTTGCCTCTAAAGTAATGGATGACAAACATGTAAGGGATTTTATATACCTTGAGGCTTTCCTTGGAATATTGTTGGCATAAAGAGGGAAATACCATTTTTATAACTGGCTGGTGTTGATTTCAGTGTATTCTGTCATGGGTAGGGAATGATATGAAGGCAATATTGGGGAACAAGGCAGAAAATTGGTGTTTTCAGGGCATGTTTGTGCTATACAAAGGTGCAAGTGAGATCAGGGCCTGAAGTATCCTATTGGGAGCGATGTAATGGCCCCTTTTAACTTACATTTAAAAGTAAAGGTATAAGTACAGAATTTGTTCCACCTCATAATTTATTTGGGCATATTTTGGGCTGATGAAAGTTCTTGGTTCATCTTTTGTGATTAATAAAACCACACTATAAGAGATGCTCATATCAGGATCTGTATTATCTCTAGAAGATTGGAGACTCCAGTATAGCAGAGCTATATCTCATAAAAATAATAATTTGGGATGCAACAGTTTTGATGGAAGATGCTATGCTAGGGCTTCATTTGAATGTTGTGTGTGTGTGTAATTTTTATTAAAGATTTTTTAAAAAGGAAAATAAAAACTAATATAAAGAATAAAAGAAAAAGAAATCAAAGAGAAAGCTAAAAGTGCAAGAAAAGAAAAAAAAGTAAAAGAAAAATAGAAAAGAAAGACAAAAGATACAAAGAAGTAGCTTCCGATCTTCGTTACAGCAGTTATAAGTACAGTTATAAATCTACCTGTTACTCTATGGTTACAACATAACTCTCTTCTTTCTATAATCTGTCCTGTATAATCATCAAAACCATAAACCATAAGTTCATTTTTT